TCCATCTTACTATATCACCATTCATTACCTCATGCTTCCAATTTCACAAATGTAACACATGATGACATATCTGACACACCCTATCCTCTCACAAATTATCTATCTGCTGCATCTTTATCTCATGATCATGCATGTTTCACTGCTGCACTCACTCATAACACTGAACCTAAGTCTTACAAGAAAGCAGTACTTGATCCTCTCTGGCAAGAAGCCATGAATAAGGAACTGTCTGCCCTTGAAAAGACTAACACATGGAAACTTGTTAATTTACCTTCTAATCATCACCGTATTGGTTGTAAGTGGGTATATAAAATCAAATACAAGTCAGATGGTTCAATAGAAAGCTATAAGGCCAGACTTGTAGCCAAGGGTTATACCCAAGAAGAAGGCATTGATTATTTTGACACTATATTATTTGACACTATATTAGGTTCAATAGAAAGCTATAAGGCCAGACTTGTAGCCAAGGGTTAAACAGAGCACTTATTTAGGCAACATTTAATCTTGTTAATGTTAGGTTTAATTGCTTCTGCTTTGGTTGTACAATTGTCAATTTTTGATATGATTTGATTGGGTTTACAGATTTGAGTTGTCAATTGTGACTTTGCACTGCTCTGCTTGCATTTCTGTGACTGAGAACTGCTTGCTTTTTGTGAATGCTGGATTTGAATTGGTTCAACTAATTGTTAGGTTTAGGTGTGGATTCCTTTGTTGAGCAGCTTATTGTATTGGTGTTTTTTTCCTTTGTTATATGCTTTGTAATTTTTGAGCTTTAGTGAACATCATGTTGTGAGGTTGACACTACACAATGTCGATGATTATGTCTTGTTTTTTTGTAAATAATTTGGTTCTTTTTAATAACATCAATTGAGGTTTGTGAATGTTGCTTTTTAATTGTATTAGAATATGCGGTTAGTACATGATGTTATGTACTTTAATGTGTGTGATTGAAATGGAAAGTCGCAAGAGTTAAATGGAAAATCACAGGAATTCATTGAATATTCCAAAAACATGGGCTGATAGTGAGATAACCTGATGTGAAGATCTAAATTATGTGTTTGTGGTGATTCACCTCAAACATTTTGAGATAGTAAAAGAAAATAATAGTTGGAATAATGATTCAAGAATGTTAAGTGCATGTATTCTGTAAGTGTAGGGTTAATTAACGAGCTTGTTTGCCATGTCTTACATTCGAATGGATGATTGTCATGTGGAGCATCAATAGCGTCACTCATTCCTGCCATGGCTTAATAACACCATGCAAATACAGCATTATGCACAAATATGTTATGAACAAGCATGAAATTAAACATACATAATACTGTATTTCAAATGTGTGCACGTTTGTTTAACTGTGTGGTATATTGATGGTATTCCTACATTTACTTCCCCACAACTCAGTGTAATAAGCGTGTCAATCAGGTTTATTCATACACATCTGTATATGGATTCGGTTGGAGAAGAACTAGCTGTTGTTGCTATATTGGAAGAGGTCATGTGTAGTGTTCAACTTTTTTTGCTACTAGCTACTTATTACTATATCAAATTCGTCCGTCCTCGGCGAAAATGACGATGTTTGGGCAGTAACCATGTCCCGTTATTTCGAGTTTGTGATAGACTCCCACATCAGGTCAACTACATGCGAAGGTTGATCGACGTGAGTGACACAACTTGTGTCGAGAACCTACGTATGGACCGTAACTCCTTTGGCCGTCTGTGTCACCTTCTTGAAATCTCTGGCAGACTTAGGCAATCTAGAAATGTTCCTTTAAGTGAACAAGTGGCTATTTTCCTTTCAATCTTAGCTCACCATAAGAAAAATGTCACTTTAAAGCTTGATTTTGTTAGATCCGGTCGAACCATAAGCAAGTACTTTAACCGAGTTCTTGACGCTGTCATCCAAATTCACTCCATCCTCGTTGTGCAACCAAAACCAGTTGAGGCAGATTGTGTCGATGAAAGATGGAAATGGTTCAAGGTAACCCACAACACATTTCTCAATGTCGTTCGAATTCCTTAGTTCAACCCTCACGAACTAATAAGTATCTTTGGTTTTGTCTCGTTAGGGATGCCTAGGAGCACTAGATGGAACCTACATTGACGTGCGAGTCCCTGCTACTGACAAGGCACGTTATAGAAACCGTAAGGGTAGTATAGCTGTTAATGTACTCGGGGTTTGCGATAGAAGCATGAACTTCGTTTACATGGTTTGTGGATGGGAGGGGTCAGTGGCAGACAATCGAGTCCTGCGGGATGCTGTTACTAGGACGCATGGTCTACGTGTTCCCAATGGTAATACTACGTTTATGTTACCTAAACGTCACCCAATCCTCTTTTTAAAATAAATAGAACACAAGATTTTCATTATTTACAATAAAATGAAAATATGACACATGAAATTATTATTTGGTGGATGGTGGGTATACGAATGGTCCCGGCTTTTTAGCGCCATATAGGGGTGTTAGATACCACCTACAAGAGTGGGGCACAGGATCACGCAGGCCACAGAACTTTAGAGAATTGTTCAACCTTCGTCATGCTAAGGCTAGAAATGCGATTGAACGTTCTTTTGGAATTTTGAAGATGCGATGGCAATTCTTAGGAGTTGCTCATATTATTCCATTCGAACACAAAATCGCATTATTATGGCATGCGCGCTCCTACACAATTTCATACGTACATCAATGGCCATTGATCCAATTGAAGCATTAGTTCCTGAGATCCCCGAAGTTGGATTGCCCACAACTACTACGGGTGAAGATGATTTGATAGACCAGGTGGATAGTAGCCCAGAATGGACACAGTTTCGTGACCGATTGGCACAAGATATGTTTCATGATTGGCAGAATAATGTGTTTTAGGTTAACAAAGTTTGTTTTTCAATATACGATTATGAGATTTCGGTGAAGACACGTTTCCATTGTTATTGACTTGTCTTCTTTTTATACCATTTTGTTGTGACATTTTTATCCATTCATGTTTGGTTTGGTGTGCTTATTTGTTTATGAATTTTACGAATAAATTATTTTGGATAATGCGATGTGTGTTTATATTAAGAATGCAAATGAATCTTTTTTGTGTAAAAGAGGCCTTCGTGAGAATAGGTACCAACATGGACTACTCTTGTACCCAAGAAAGTGGTCGATCTTCCTCCTCCCAAACAGCACGACGACGTACGTGGAGCCGACGTGAGGAGTCTGTCCTAATAGATATTTTGAAGGACATGGTTATCGAGGGATGGAAGTCAGATAATGGGTTTAGGCAGGGATATAATTTTGAGATTGAGAAAAGATTGAAGTTGAAGATACCAGACTGCACCCTTCAAGCTGAACCACACATCAGCTCAAAAATACATGTGTGGATGAAGAACTATAGGAGTGTGGCACTCATCAAAGGAACTTCAGGCTTCGGGTGGAGTGAGTTGACAAAAACTTTTTCCTGCAATGATAAAGTTTGGGCACAATGGGTAAAGGTAAGTTATGATACCCATTCATCATGGGATGTAAGAAAAAGATAATATTTCCTAAATATTTGTGCCAATTACGTGTATGTGGTTAATGTAGGTGGATCCAAATGCAAAAACACTTAGGAACAAGTCTTTCCCGTACATCAACGAATGGGCTGAAATATTTGGGAAAGACAGAGCTACTGGTGAAAATTCACAATCGTTTCAAGATGCAGCCAATGACGTTCCAGAGCATGTCATGCAGGACCAACAGGACTCGGATAATGAGGATGTTCCATCACATCAGAACCAATCTCATGGAAGCCCAGGCCTTCGCATGGGTAGCACTTCATGTACGGAGTCCAGGTCCGGAAATAGGGCAGGTAAGAAGGTGAACGGTAGCAAAAGGACGGGAGACAGTCCATTCGAGGAGCGTTTTCTGGATATCATGCAGTCCTTTTCCCAAAATACAAAGGAGAGCTTGAATGGGATTGCATGTAGGCTTGGGTTTGAGCATGAGACGGAGAAGAAAAGAAATTCTGTGTTTGACTCATTGTCTAATATGCATTTCCTGTTAAAAGAGGACAAAATGGTTATAACGATGCGCTTATGTAAGAACCAACAGGAGTTGTCCATGTTTTTCAGCCTGTCCATGGAAGATAAAGCTATCATGGTGAAAATGATGCAGGATGGACGTTTGTAGTTCGTTGGAAATGTATAACACTTTTATGTCTTATGTGAAATGTCGAAACTTGGTGTGGTAGGACTTGCGAATGATTAATGTTTGTTTTGTGTGTTGGATTTGCCTCTATTATACTCTGTAGTCGATGTGCTTGTTTTTCATTTTGCGTTTCAAGACATTATTGATGTGTTTGTTTTGTTGTATTGTAAAAGATACGTATTCAGATTCTATATGTATTAGGGCAGGTAAGAAGGTGAACGGTAGCAAAAGGACGGGAGACAGTCCATTCGAGGAGCGTTTTCTGGATATCATGCAGTCCTTTTCCCAAAATACAAAGGAGAGCTTGAATGGGATTGCATGTAGGCTTGGGTTTGAGCATGAGACGGAGAAGAAAAGAAATTCTGTGTTTGACTCATTGTCTAATATGCATTTCCTGTTAAAAGAGGACAAAATGGTTATAACGATGCGCTTATGTAAGAACCAACAGGAGTTGTCCATGTTTTTCAGCCTGTCCATGGAAGATAAAGCTATCATGGTGAAAATGATGCAGGATGGACGTTTGTAGTTCGTTGGAAATGTATAACACTTTTATGTCTTATGTGAAATGTCGAAACTTGGTGTGGTAGGACTTGCGAATGATTAATGTTTGTTTTGTGTGTTGGATTTGCCTCTATTATACTCTGTAGTCGATGTGCTTGTTTTTCATTTTGCGTTTCAAGACATTATTGATGTGTTTGTTTTGTTGTATTGTAAAAGATACGTATTCAGATTCTATATGTATCATTGCAGTATTTATGTATTAATTTTATAATGTATCATTGCAAAGCTCTTTTATTTTTTTTGGTTCTATTTTGTTGTGACGACAATCAGGGGATGGACAACATGGATGTTGATGGTGACGGTCCTCATTTCTTCAAGGCTGTTCAGTTTCGTACGCTCCATACCATGGTAAGATAGTCTACTTCTTTTTTTTTTTTTTTTTTTCAACCTACTCTATATTTAAATTGGTACATAACATGCATTTTGATATTTAACTGCACACTTGTAACATATTTTTTTTAAGGCTTTCCTGCCAGCAACACACCACCATTATCGTGGTGTGGTGCTGCCACAACAGTGCAATATCGAGACTATCGAGGGTCGTAAATACGAGGCTACATTGGATATGGTCAACAACTGCCCCACATTAACGGATGGCTGGAGAGATTTCATTCTTGCCGAAGACATAACCATAAACTACTTTTTGGTGTTCCGTCCCAGGACCATTTTCGATTTTGAAGTGTGGGTTATGGAGCCCAATGGCTGCGAGAGGCTACCACATTACACGTTTAGTCTCCAGATATACCCAACTCATGTGGAGCGTGCTCGTCTGGTATGTTGTTTGATGTAATATTATAGTTTCATTAAAATGACATATTTTATAACATTGTCCTTAAACACGTCTATTATATATTAGTCAATCCCAATGCAATTCTGGAGGGATAACATTGAAGGCAAGTATTTGAATTACAACTCCGCACAGTTGAAGTTTGGTGACAGGTGGTATGACGTCGATATAATACATGGACATGGGAAGAAACTGTTACAGAATGGTCATGCGCGACAATTCATCGATGACAACATTGTTGTTGGTGATGTTTGCAAGTTCTTTCTCCTCCCACATGATGAAGTCATAAAATTCAAAGTCAAAATGTAGGGGAAGTCTAATATGTAGTGGACCTTGTGCACTTGGTGTTGATGATGTAGACTTTTGTTGGTGCTTATTTGCGAACTTTGTTTTTTTTATTTATTATGGATTCGTTGACGATGTTGGAATTATGGATTTACTTAGCTTTTATTGACGATGTTGGGAAAATTGAGGATATTGGAAATCGTTTGTTTATATTTTGGTTGTTAATGATTTTCGATAATGTTTTGTTAATGAGTGTGCTTAATTACAAACATTACACGGTTCAATACGAACATAGCACACAGGAGAAGGAGACGTATAGAACACAACTTCATAACACCGACAAGCAATAACACTTACAAGCAATAACACCGACAACCAGTAACACCGACAGGCATACACTAGATAAGGCAAGCGTAACATAAGGGAAGTGAACATAGAATACCTAAACAACCCAGACGGAACCTACTGCGTGCTCATTAAAACCATGACAAGCAAACTAAAGAGTACAATCATAAAAACAACCAATACACTGAAGGGGCTAGTACTACGACCATTCAGGCGTCGTCAAGTCCATAAGAGTGGTAGAACGTCAGTTCCACGGCCAATCACCCGGCTTGAAATCCATAGGGTGGCCGAACATGCAGTGGACGAAGAGTTTGGATCCACTTCATCCGCACGGCTGTGAGTGGAGTTGTAGTATGTTGGTTGGTTGACAGATCCATCAGTTGACCCAGTCTGGCTATGGATGGAATGCTCTTGTTGGCGGGGCTTTGAAGTGCTACCCAGATAGAAGGCCGGACGTGGTGGTTGTTTTTTACGTGGGATGTCGGTCCGAACAGGGTACGACACTAACCTACTCGGAGGGGCAGGTTTTGGGATGTAGTCCTCAACATCAATAATTTGAACATTTTTGTTGCGGCCATTGGTTGCATTCATACTGAGTTCATTATCACTATCAGACAAGATATGGTACTCGAAAGGAGGTACGTACGCCGGCTCCACACGAAACAACTCTACAATCTTATCATGCTGCGGATCACTTCCGTCATGTACGCTACTGAAAAATCATCCCACTACATAAAAGATAAAATACATATTAGTTTGCAGCTGTAAGGTGAGTGTAATAAAGCAAACGGCAAATCATTGACAAAACTCACATCTACCAGTTGATACCAAGTCTTGTCCGAACAATGGTACTTGTTTTGGCCGGCGTCGTATTGCACACCATCCTTCGCTTTCAGGGATGTGAAAACTTCATGTCGTTTGGCTAAATTATCAACGCGGCTTCTTATGTACTCCGTCGAAAAGCTCTTACGATGATACGAATTTATTGCTTTCGTAGTATCAACGATGGAGTCAGTATTAGCTGCACCAGGAACAAAGTGACCACACAACTTCTCATCAAGCAAACATTCGATTAAGAACTCATCAAGTTTCGGTGTCCAATATAGGTCGTACAAGAAGTCAACCTGCACTACACCAAAATCAGGAGCCATCGCAAATTATGAAAACAAGCTAAGTAATTTCTTTTTTTTTACGAAATCTAATCTTTCACAACTTGCCTCTCTTTTGCCTGGATACGTTTGTTGTGCAATGGGTTGTTTATATAGGAAAATATCATGATTGCCGATATGTGATGCATTGTCTGACATGTACACATGGTGACATGATTGTGATGCCTTAGTCTTGTCTAGTCAGCTTTGCAGATTAAGCATAAGCATAAAAGTAGACCTGCAACCATGTGCCGCTGCTATACAAGCTCGTGAAGCCTTAGTCGTAGGTAGTGAGCTTTGTATAATAAGCTTTTAATATAAGTAGACCTGCAACCATGTGCCGATGTGTCGTCAAGCCTTAGTCCAATCTACTCAGCTTTGCAGAAAAGGCTGAACCCTACATGTAGACATGCAACATCTTGTCATAGCGCGTGGCAACAATTATTAATATTTTGACCATATTGTTTAGTTGAATGGTGAATTAACTCCTTACACAGCTACATATTTTTCATTTTGCATTGACTAGTAGCTTTGTTGTTGGTAGGGGAATGCTCATGCAAAAAAATCACTGTATGCTCACATGCATTAACTTGTACGCATGAGTTCCACTGCAAAAGTTGATTTTACTTTTACAAGATGTAACAGCAAAAGACGGTTTCTGCATGTGTTTCTGACCCATTCATGGAATACTATCTTAGTTGCATTGACTAGTCTGTATTGGATTACAAATTGTGTTAACCTTAGTTTCACACAATTATAGTAAACACTACGTACGTTTTCAACTTACACAGATATACGTATTTTTGTGGTATAATGTTTTGTAGCATTCACATGATATTTACTCCAACCAATCGGAGACAAATACGTAAAACAAACAAAATATCACTAAAACCGCGGTTACACTACATAGTGCTGTTCTGTGACATCCAAGCAAATGAGTACAAAGCAAAAATACAACAAAACACCAATACATAAGAGTTGCTGGGTAATTTGATACATATTATGCTCATTTCATGATAAACTTCCACACCATTGACACTACAACTAAAACCAGTAAAATTCTATTCTTCTGCCTCAACTGTGCATTTTGTTTTTCCAGTTTCTTCATCTTTTTGATGTACCTCTCTTTCTCTTGGAGTTCATTAGCAGGTTCGACACTGTGTCGATTTGTTTCAGCTTCTAACCGGTTTATTTTATGCAACAAACCGGGTATTATCTCTTTTGATCTTGCACACATAGGAGGGTCAAACCAATTCCAGAAGCGACAAGCTTTTTCGGCACAATCAAAGTACCTCCTTCCTGCGTTGGCAGGGGTCCATGCAGTTTGGAGACGAGCAACCTTATCGCAGTCACACAAAACACCAGGTACCATCCTTGATGTACTTGAATAACTCATTTCTGTTTTACCTTGAAAAACATAAACCAAAGGGCCTATAATGTGAGTGTAAAGGCTCTGGAAATAAATCATTTAAAGCGTAGTAAATCATTTAAATCATTTAACTCAAGGATTGTTGCATGCATGAACAGCTGAATTAGGGATAAAGAATTAACAGAAAACAACAAAGTTTGACAAAAAAATTAATAGCACAATCTGGGACATGAATAGGGCTCGTGAAAAACACACCATGTGCCTCTCATTTTTGTTTTCTCTCAAAAGAGTCAACCAATAGGCTATAGTATCTGCAGAATACTCATCTCCATTCAAAATACCACACGAAGAAGGACAAGTACATAAACCAACAAAGCAGAAGAAAACATGCGATATGCAGGTACAGATAGCAGAAAACATAAAGTTTAGCCAACTAATTAAACTACTTAAACTGAGATTTAGGTATTTGCAACATACTGGATTCAAACTTAGACAGAAGTGTGTGCAAACTACTCATTTCCACCAATATAAAACAGACGGGTAAACTTGTAAGCCTTCAGCCAAACATCTGCTACAAACTCATTTACACCACTCCTGCTACAAACCCAATTCAAGCAGGTACAGTTCACAAAATCAAGCATAATCTTAACAAAAGTACATTAATTAGTGATCCAAAAATAAAGTGATATTCAAGCATGTGAGAAAGAAACATATCCATATGATTCTTCACAGTAATCACCATCTCATGGCCGAGACACTCAACAAGCAACCGACTTATTTGTCCAAAAAATGATACAACTTCAAGCAAGAACACATATTCACCACATTTTTTCCTTGCTTTCCACAACTAATAATTTCTCAACCCTGAACCACTGCCTCACAATAATCATGGGCCAAGAAAAAAGAAAGAACAGAGGCAGACATCAAGAAATGTGGAACGAACCAAAATTTGCACAAAAAAGTCTGAAACCTAAAATTTTACAGAGTCGACTTCAAAAAGGAACACACCATATCTTAAACACAAAATCAATTATTAAGAGCCAAGGGTACAAACGATTCCTCACAAAAGGGGGTACAAATAACGTGATTTCTAAATAACAATTGATTCAAATATTTCGATTCTCCGCCCGAAGCGTACCTCGCGGTGCCGTGCGCTTTCAAATTTTTGCTCCCTCCTATGAATTCGAACGCAAGCCCAAGGTGGATTATGCTGGGAGGTGACGTCGTATAAATCGGATTATGCTGGGAGTGGTAGGTGAATTCGTGAAAATTGGGGCGCAAAATTAGGGTTCCAGACAAGTTGGGATGAAAGGGTCTTGGTGTCGATTTGAAATGCAAGAGAAGATTGGGATGAAGGGTATATATGTAAAAGAGGGACAAATACAACACAAATATATCATGGATAGTAAATAGATGATTGGGTAGGACAAGATTGTATCATGTATAGTAAATTAGGGACTAAATATGATGTGGCAAAATGTGGCCACTTGGAGGGATTAAAATGTCTAATCCTTTCCCCCTTTGTAAACGACCCCTAAATATATTATCTTGATATTAGAAAATTATTAGATACTCACACTTAATCAAAATAATGATTAAGAGATTTTATCGGAATTTTTTGTGGACTTAGAACTCTCAAATTCTTAAAGGAAAATGACTCGGAGGATGAAATTGGAGTCTCGGGACTTACATTAATTTTTTTCCAAATTTTTCTTATTTTAAAAATATTTTTAAAATTGAAATCGGTATTAAAATCGGGTTTCCAGAACTCAAAATTGGAATAAAAACTAAACTGGGCCACGCTAGTAGAAGCTGGCGAAAGACTGCCCCATACTTGGGCCTTACACACACGAATTGGGCCGGAGATAACACGCGAAATGGGCTTGGCACATGAGGCCTGAACTAGAAAAAGGGCGCGGGCCTGGAAGGCCAGATGCGGGCTGAGTGTGCAGAGAGGCACCGGGCCGCGCGGGCCAAAATGCGGGCCTGATGGCCCGCGCGCGTTTCTGCTCCTTCGCTGGCTACGCGCAAGTGGGCTGAGGAAATGGTTTTTGGGCTGAAATTTGTTTTAAAAATATTCCTGGCTGAAGCTAAAAAATCAAAAAGGCCTGGGCCGCAAAAACCAAAAAGGCTGCGAGATAAAAAAAACAAAACGGGAAGGCCTGCGTTGAAATAATCGACCGGGAAAGAAGGTCCTTCCGACGACGGACAAATTTTTTCCGACCAAACTCGACACTAACAGGTAATAAGCCCCATGAACAGAGGCTAAAGGTTTCGGGAAAAAGGTAGCTAACATATCGAGTTTACACAAGGCCATGACAACCGGATTACTACAAATCTCAATGGCAATTGAACACAGATCTCCAAGAAATCAACTCAAAGAAAATATTCAGCAGGTAGCACAACACAACAACAAAAGACTCGATTTATCCCGATTTTAAAAAAAGTCTAGCAACAGGACTCAGTTTGCAAATGAGAGTTCCAACAGATCCACGTAAATTCAGGAATGAACACAACGAACAAAACTGTCGAACGTAACGAACCAAATTCTGACAATCAACGAGAATCGATAGAAGGAGCACGATACATTTAACAACATGATATACGAACACGACCAAAATTACGAGAGGATTCGGGAAAGGTTACCCGACTTCGAGAATCGACGAGCTTTCAGAAAATGGGTCGGACGAACGGGACGACCGGAACTCAGTCTCGTTGAGGCTGCCGCTGCGACCTCTCGAACGGACTGTAGGTTGCTCGCGTAATGTTATCGAGGTCTGACGGAGGCGGACGGCGGTTGACGGCAACAGGAGATGGTTTCGCCAGAGTGCTTGCCGGAAAGTATGGTGGACGGTCGCCGGCTTGCTGTGACAGAGAGGATGAACTGAACGGTGATGGTCGCCGGAGATGGAGGCAGACTAGCGGCGAGATTTCTTCTACTACTTTTTTTTTAAACGATGCTGATGCGCTTGCGTTGATTGAGGGAGAATCTGATGAGGGAAGAATTCTCCTCTGCCGATATGATATAGACGAGCAAGATGAGAACGTGAGCTTAAAAATCGTAACAAGACTTTGATCCGTTAAAGATGACGACTCGGTCGTGAAGAAGAAAGAGAAAAAGGCCACGTGATTGATTCATTTGGGTCAAATTAAACCAATTGGGCTAGAATTAATAAAGCAAGCAAGACCCGAAGTAGATCAATAAAATTGGGCAAGATAAATTTACAACAAGGCCTAGAACTTAATCATAGAGGCTAGAAAATAGGCCGAAAATATTTTCAAATAATCAGGCGGAAAGAATTACAACGAGATAACAAGAATTCTCAATCGATTCGATTGACGACGAATAGCAAATAAAATTACACGACTTATTATTTTAATAGGATTGGATTAGGTTGGTTAACCAACCTAATCATTTGTTTACTAGGGAGGATGGGGATTCACATTTATCTGATGTGTCACGTGGGTCCCATATCTGTAAAATGATGTGGCCGGTTTCTTTAATCCGCCCAAATTGGGCTGACAAATTAATCCCCAATTCTTCCTTCCCATTTTGACCTCACTTTACCACACAAAAAGTCTATTATGCCCCTCCATGTAATTTAAATTACAGATATAGGCATATATATTACGAATCTTGTCCACTAATCGCCATTTGCGATCTCTCCTGTTGCCCTACCTTGTCTTCTCCGCCCGTAATCTACCTGCAACATATTCTTCTTCTTCGTTTTTGCCGATTTTCTTTATTTTGCCAGACTTCGTACTAACAAGGATAACATCGCAGGTGTCAATTGGTTCGAGTTGCTCTCCGGTAGGGCATATTTTCCTCCGTCGATTTCACGGCTTCTGGCTGGGTAAGAAGTTTGAACACATTTCATGTTTCATAATTTTTTCACACAAGCCCGGTTTATATGACAGTTACGATTTGTTTTTAGTTTTTTTTTCCTTGACAAGGGATTGAGTTTTGATCAATGTATTGTGAAATGATTACATGATCTTAGGTATTGTGATTTGAACAATGTGAAGTTAGTTGCCGTTCAATGTGCTTGTTTGCAATGTCTTACCTGGTAATGGTTGAATGTCAGGTGGAAGTTTCGGACAATTCAGGCATCCTCTCCCCTCAAGTTTTCGTAAGTGCTCCAATTTCTCGTAATGAGGTTACTTGCTGCTATATTTTTTATTTTTCCCTTCAGTTTGTTTTCAATGATTAACAACTGATGCCCTGTTTCAATTGAGGCATCATTCTTTATGTGTGCCATATTTGTTTAATGGTTTGACAAATTGCTACTATTCGTACATTTAAATGTTCATAGTTCTGTGTAATAAGCGTGTCAATCAATTTTATTATCCACATTTGGATATGGACCAAGTTATTGAAGAAGAATTAGTGGTTGTTGCTATATTAGTTTCTGTGATGAGATTGAGTAGTATCAAAAAACTTTTCATATGATTTGCTCGGTTTACAGAGTTGATTTGTGAATGGAGACTCTGCACTGCTTGCATTTATATGAATTTGCTCATTGCTTTACATTTTCTTCAGGTTGTTGAAGTAAATATTATGAATAGTTGAGTTATGATTTTAGTGTCCTTTGTAAATGTAACGCCCCACTTTATTTTGAAATATTTATCGAATTTATTTAACAAAAAATCACAATAATTAAATTTTTTTTTTCAACCTTAAATTTAATTTAAAACTCAGTGGGCGCTACTTATTTTACCAAAAGCTTTTATCCGCAAAAACAGCCACATTAAAGAAAGATAGCATGCTCGAACATTAAATCATAAACCTCACTAGCATTCATTAAATTCAAAATCACAAAAGATAATTCATAACTTCCAAGTTTCAAACGACATGATCAATATCCAAATCCCGACATGAGTTCATAAACTAAGCAGAAGCAAAATTAAATAAATAAATGTCATAACCACCACTCGTCATCTCGTCTCGTCACCGCCAACTGCTTAACCTGCATCAGTTACGAGCAGGTGGGAGTGAGTATAGTTAACTATCGTACTCACATTATGCA